TGGCCACCTCGTTTGTCAAGGTGTCCGTTTAGACGTTCATTCCTAGCGGCCCGTTTGTCTTTAGCCCAGTTGTCCGTATGGAGTATGTATCCAACGGCCTATGGCCTGTTTAACACGATTGCTCGTCTGGAAGTCCATGCCCAGCGGCTCGTGGTCCTTTAGGTGTTGGCGCTCAAAAAAAAATCAAGGGAATGAGAGTTCATTTGCAAGTGGTCAACCGGTTAGATTCAAAATGGCCCGGTTGTCCACTTGAGGGGGAGTGTTAGAGTGCATCCCACATCGGAAGTCCAAGAGTAAAATAATCCGGTATATAAGCTCTTGAGTTAAACTAACTAATCGATTGGATTCAATCTTTTAATGTGGTTCAACCCAAGTGTCTTATGACCCAATCGAGTTGTCCATACTCATCCCAAATTCTATCAATAACCCATGCTCACCGTTTAGTTTCCTATACGTTCCTCTGCAACAAAATTTGGTGAAGTTCCCAGCGGTGGATTGGTCTCTGTTTTGCTATTATTCATAATCACTACCTATATACATAGTATATGTCTCTCTCACCAAACAGCTTCTAATCAGATTTTGGAACTCATATCATCTCCTCTCAAATTTAAAAAAAAACTTATGTCTTATCACATCTCCAAAACTCACCAAACGAGCCTAAGTCATAATCCACAACTATCCATGACGACTAGTTTGATCATGTTATATTAATAATTGTGAGAAAGAATACATTATATTACATGTTGATAACATGTGTAACAGTTAAAAAATATATATAGTCACAATTGAAAATCTCAACCACCGGAGTTGGATTTAACACACTAGTAGTTGGTTTGTATAAAGAATGTAAATATGAAAGAAAAAAAAATTGTATAAAAGAATGTAGATATGAACTTAGCTGCCCGGTGCCAACTTGAGGGAAATGGATAACTCACAATTATCCTCGAAGTTGTTTTTGATTAATTTCAGACCAAATTTGTTGTGCTGAGACTCTCAAACATAATTGGCTTTCTCAAAATTGTAGCATCACGCCACCAAAGATTAATTAATGCTTAATATTGAATTACAAGTTGGCTCAATAGTATGAGATGAATCACACAAAGTAAATATTCTAGAAGAGAATAACAAGATATGTAACTAATTCGCTAAATTTTATATATTGGAAGAAAAAAAACATCTCACAGTTGAAGATTTATAATTATCACCATGTTGTAAAGTGTATGTAAAACCTCATGTCTAGAATGAAATGTTCCCAACAAATAATTGTTGAATGAAGAAAATGAAAACAAATATTATGGGTTGAACCATTAGGATTAACTCTTAACCAAAGTATTTTGGTGAATACACATAATTTGAACCAAATGAAAAAATTTATAAATTATAAGCTACTTAATGAACTTACGCAACTAGTAATAAATATCATGTTGAGCAGTGGTTCATAAGAAAGAATTTTTGAATTAGACAAGTTTTTTCGAGTAGTTACATATAGGAAAAAAATTACCATATATTTAGACTATGTGAGAGATAACTATCTAATAAGTTATCTTTAGGAAAATATATATAATAGATAAGTGAAGTAGCCGACGTTAGATGAAATTTGAAGAAAGTAGCTTCTAAAGGTTACTTTTAAGAATTTAAAAGTTTTGATAATTATGATACTTTTTGGTGAGATTAATTTTCTAAACACTTATTATTTAATACAAAAACAAATTGTGTATATGAATCAACTAAACGAGGGTTGCTCAAAACAAAAAAAAATATTGCAAAGGGGTTCCAACTACGCTCTTTTAGATTGGTGATGCTAATATTTTAAGTGGTAAGTGACTGTGCAAAAAATATATATATAAAGTAACTTCATGAATAATTTCAGGTAAGCTTGAAATTAAATTTGTTCAATCCATGCGAGAACAGGGTATATTGTAGCACTAAGGTACGGTGTGAAATTGGTGGCCTAGTGGCATCGTTAAAAAAAAACTTTATCTAGCATTCAATTGAGTCGCTGAATACTGAAATGACAACCATATTCAGAAGGGGGTGCAGACTCTGACGAATGAGGGTGTTTTATTTAAGGGTCAGACGAGGGTGACAATATGAGGTAATGGGTAACAAAAGGAAAAAAAACAATACGTTTCCTCTTTACAAAAGGGGGTTAAGAAATAAAGTTTGTAAAAGGTTATCTTATTCAAGGTAAATTGTTACTTTCATAAAAATAATTATTTTTAGATTGTGTGTTAATCTTTTAGGTAAAGGGCGTAGTGATTAAGTCACTTAAACATTTTCAGCAGAGAACTTTTGATAAATGATCATTTTGCACACACAAAAAAAAGAAGAAGAAAATACGTGTCGTATCCAAAAAAAAAGGTGAAACGTAATGCCGTGAAGTATACCCTAGGATTTAGTTTTAATTACGTAACAAATCATAATTTTAATTTTTGTTTAAATTAAATATTTAAAAAAAGATAACAAAAATGTCAATGCTAAAATTAATTGATTTTCAAAGTTAAATTTGGTGGGAAAAATTCATATTCAAATTGAAAGCCCTGACAAGACGAGTTCAATAGCGTATTCCGCGTGCAAATATGAGTTACGGAAGTTAGGGAATTGCTCAACCCAAAACTGAGAAGATTTTAAAGTGAACGAGTAACATACGAGGGGACATGGAAATAATGTTAACTCACGAATCCTGGATCGTTGGGTAGGTCTCGAAAAAAGGGTGACCCGTGACACATAGACACATAGTTGGTCGAGTTGGGAATTATGTTTTAAAAGTTGTCATCAAAATAAATGTTATAGTTCAGTAATTTTATAATAGAACTTTTAATAACAAAATAAGAAATTTCCACCCCTAAATGCGAAACCATCACAGAGTGATACTTTCCAAGTCAAAGGCCCATTTACCAGATTTTCACCAATTTAGTTAGCACTCTTCATCGTATCATCTTCTCCTCGTTTCTTCGTTATTCAGATTTGCCAGGGAGAAACACCGGAGTGTTCTCCAAGTATTCTACAACCGGGTATTAATAAGAATTATCATGTCCTGTAAGGAAACTATTGTGGCCCGTTGTGAAGGGAGATGTCTTTGAGTTTACAACACGGTTTGACTTGCCAGCAAGTCAAGGCC